ATACATAGAAGTCTAGCAATAACCTGAAAACCGATAAAGAGCAAGGACAACTAAAATTTTTTAACTTGTAACTTGTAATAATAACTTTCCTTATATGCATACAAATTAAGTTAAAATGCGCTAATCTTTTATGTTACAAGAATTCTAATTCTATAATCATACTTCATTTACACTATATTTTATAAATTATAACAAAAAATTTTTTATAACATTGCAGGATTTTTGTCAATTTTACATTACTTTAGTTTTAGAGTTTGTAATTCTAAAATTGCATATTTATATTATATTATATACTTATATAAATGGTAAGTATGTTATATGATTATACAATTAAAAAAAGTCTTTTTTGCATATATACGGAATGTTTTAGAGATTTTCAATGAAAATATTCAAATATAATAAGCTAAAATAATATTTTATGCATATAAGATCTTGTTATCTAATTTTTAAGAAATTAAGTTCGATAAAATAAATCATTACAAATACATGCTCCGCATGACATGCTTATTTCACAAAAAATCACCCTTACTTAAATTTTTTTTTGGATTTAATTATATTTCGAAATATTAAAGTAAATTTTTTATTTGAATATCTCTTAAACATAAAACACAAAAAAATCAATCATAAATTAATTAAATTAAATAATATAATTTCCGATTCTTCGAATACAAAAAATTTGAATATAAAATTAAAAATTTATTTTTATCACGTAAAATATTCAATTTGATTAAATAAAAGTGATTTACACTAATTAAATCAGGAAAATATAATAATTTTAACAATTATTTTCACAATTAATTCACAAAATACAAATACTACAAATTAAAATACAAATACTACAAATATTTGCATACGAAATAAGTAAGCTAAATATTGGAAAATATTTTCCAAAAGAATTTTAAATTTGTAAATCGCCTAGTTCCTATATAGTGTACCCTTTCAAATATTACCAAAAACAAAAAAAAATATTTAAATTTTTAAAAATTTTCAACTATAGTAAAATCAACATTTTTTTTTATTATTGTTTTATGTGTTAAAAATCACATTCTATAATCAATGACCCAAATTTAAACAGAAAAAAAAAATAAAAAATTTTCATTTCATTTCCTACATTTTCTTTTATTTAGTACAGTAAGAGTAATTTGCATAAATTAAATTAACTAAAATTAGAATTTCGTATTGCTATAATGGTGAATGAAATGGTGGCAATAGATGGAAAATATAAAAAAACTAAATTTAAAACTTTTATAGTTTTTATTAGTAACAACAGCAACCATACAAAAAAAAATAAGGATAAAATTATGCTAAAATTGAAAATTAGTTATAATTTTTTCCTTCCCCACTCATTAAATTATAATTAAAGTTTTCTGAATTATACAAAATTTTATTTTTTTTTTTTGCATTTTCATTGAAAATTAAAATAGATTAATCAAGATTAATTATAGCTTCCTTCCGAATAAAATTATTATTTTTATTAGTAACGTCACTAATTTGCTTGTTATAATTAAAATGAAAATTTTCATTTGAACAAAAAGCAAAGATTTTTAAACAATTTAATGATTTTTTAATTTTTTTGTTTTTGTTCCCGATTTTACACAATGAAATAATTTATAATAGAGAGGACCATGTATTCCTTTTCTTAATATTAAATAATGTTCCCTTATTAAGCACATAAATGTAATATTAATTCGTCACCTATTCTAAAGATTTATTTATTCTTTCACTTGATCCACTTTTTTTATATTTGATAAACTTTTATATTCAAATTAGATTTCTAAGAATTTATTTTGCAGCATCAGTTTGACAAGCAAGTTATATAGTAGTAAATATTTAAAATTATAATAATAAACGGAATAATATAACAATAAATGGAAGCAAGTAACAAACTTTTAATTTTATTATAAAAAAACAAATAATTTGCACCATTTCTTGCTACTTCGTTCTAATCTATCGTCTAATGTCTTATTTTTAGTTTCTGAGGGTGGAAAATATTTAAATTTATAACTTTTACTTTGAAAAATTTGTTTTGTTACTTTGCCTTATTATTTTTATCCTATTTTCTATTTAAAATTATTTTTAATTTCTAATTTATAACTCATAAATATTTATGTTTAAATATATTTTATACAATATTATAAATTTGCCCATATATTTCAGTACGACCCTCCGCTCAAAATAATTAAGATCGATTGTTCCTTATTAAAAATTGAATTTTAAATTTACATCTTATACAAAATATGGGAAAAATTTTAAAATTCAAAGTATTTATAGAAAATTATTTAAATTTTTATTACTTTGTACATTTACAAAAATAATTTTTGCTTTTTTATATTTATTTTTATATAAAATTTCTATACAAATATAGATTTAAAATATATTTTTAAAATATATTCTTAATAGAAGAATGAAATATTTTACTTTATTATCTTCATTACCATTCATTATTATCAACCATTTCAAAAATTTTATTAAATTACGTATTTTTATTTTTATCTGATTTAAAATTATAAATATATAATTATGTTTTCATTAACACATACATTATTTTAACAAACAATATTAAATTTATAATTACAAAGAACCCACGCATATATTTATTACAAACATTACAAAAAAACCAACTAATTTCTATTAAATTAGAATTAAATTTTAATATATTTTATTTTTCGCTTTCAATTTTATTTTATTAAAATACAATTACATAGATTTTTTTTTATTAAAAATCATTTATTTAAAATGAATTTAAATTATTATAAAAAAATTAAATTAAATAAAATAAAAAAAAAATTATAAAGAAATTTTTTTGTCACCTCTGAAATATAATTTAATTTTTATTTGTGCACTTTTGTTATATTGTAATAAAATATTCTATTTTTCTATAAAGAAACGTAAAATATTAAAAAAAGTTAGCACATAAAATTTCATTTTGCATTTGTGCATCAGTCTTGAATTGCAACATAAAGAATTCATATTTATTTTGTTTGTTATTTTATTATCTTTTTGGTCTTCTTCAATTTCTTATCTCAAAGAAAGACAATTTTCAACTGAATCAACAAAAAATAAATAATAAAAAAATAGAAAAGAAGTAGAAATTGATATTATTTTTTTCATACCGCAAATCAACCATTGGAACTTGTAAAAAAATCAAAGCAAATTTATTTTTAAAGAAATGCAATTTCAAGAGACGCCACAATATTTAATATATTTCCATTCAATATATTAGTATTTGTTGCAAAACAAAAATTATATTTTTTTCAAATCAACTTGACAAAACAAATAAAACAAGTTATATAATATTAATATCGAACAAAGATGAATTCAAAATAAAAGTGTTTAAAAAGGTTTCAAACCTAAAGTATCTTAATTGTAAAGCATCATTTACGAATTGGTTGCAAAACAAACGTAATTTTGTGTTAAATGTAAATATTTCCGATTGCAGGTCTTACATTATTTTATTAATATAATAATTATTACTACAATTATGTGCAAGTATTTCAAAATAAATTATTACAATGATGATTAACCAGTCAAATTTAATTAAAATTTTGATATAGTTTGAAATCGATCTTATATTTTAAATGCTAATAATAATTATACTTTATTATATTAATTTTAAAAAGATCATATAAATTAATTTTTAATTGAAATTGTGGTGATATTTCTAACAAAAATTTTAAAATATATCGGTAACCCCAAATTTGCTTTTATACATCAATTATATTTATATCACCTTTCTTTTAACACTTTTAAATTGTATTCTCCACTCTTTTTTGTTTTCTTATTATAAAATTGTGGTGGTCCAAGAATTGAACCAGAAATGTATACAACAAAAATGGTATAATCAATTACTATAAATATTCTATCCATAAACACAACAACATTTTCTTGCATTTCAACGATGGAACGAAAAAAATATTTTTTTTTTCACATGGACTGACTACTTATTCATTACTCAGGTTTTGTTGATTTCATAAGGAAATTAGTAATTTCCCTTTACTGTAGTAGTGTACTACTACAGTAGTCTAGATGTTTAAATCTTAGTTTTTCACATTTTATGTGATTTGTATAAATAGTTATACAGACTTTTAATATTATATTATATTGTGTTGAGGTTCTACACGTAAATCTTTAGAATGAAGTAGACATATACTGTTACAATAAGTATAACAACATTATATACATTATATACATAGTTGAGTAAATATATATATGTATACACAAAAGTTTTCATTTTTTAAAAGAAAATCAACTTTATTTAATCTTTTATACTTTATCGCAACTAAATATTAAGAATACTTTGAAAGTTTTTCTTTTAAGTTTGTGATAACATTTTTACAAAAAATAAAAGAGTATCCTCTTCAACAACGCTATAAATTTTTTCACTAACTTCTTGTAAGCTTTGATTTGTATATCAATGATTTTTAGCACTGCTCTCTTTATTTTAAACAATATTAAATTACAATTACCATTTTTGTTTAAAAACAAAAAAGAAAAAAGTCAACTTTATAGAATATTTTATTTACATAAGTACAGAATGTAACGTAAATAAAGTGAGCAGCACGAACAAAATTGAATAAAATAAGAATAATATAAAAGAGAAATTAAAAGTGAACGAGCATACCGGGCGACAGAACAATATGACAGAAACAAATAATATTACATGTATGTATAACAAATTTTCTAAATTATTTTTTAAATTTAATGAATTAGCGTTAGCAAAAATTTTGAATTTAGTGCTAACGCAAAAAACAGAATAATAAAAATATATCATACAAGCTTTCAAATTGTAAATATAATAAATATAACACATTATTATGTATGCAATAATTTTCAAATAACATTAAAGATTTTAACATTTAAAATGTATATAAAACAAATTAATTCAAAATATTAACCTGAATAATTAACGGTCTAAATTCATTATAAATGTCATAATACAATTACTTATACAAATAACTTATAAAATTTGAATAATTATCACACAATAATCAGCATTCAAACATTGGTTGACAAAAATGACAAGATACACTATTTAATAAAATTATTAAATCTATTTTGCAAACATATTGTAACAAAATTTAATTTTTATATTCCTGAAACTATTAACTACAAAATGGACGTTTTGTTTCTGAATAGCCGCAAACGCAGACTGAAACTCCAGAAAATCTGCAATTACTTCAAACCTTTCTTTATGACATCTAACACACTCTCTGTTAACATTCTGTTTCTTTAACTATTGTTCTGTTTTGAAAAATTGTTATATATCTTGGGTTGTTGCAAATTAATTTATCAGATACCATTCTCGTGGCAAATTTATTTAATTTGCTATTAGATTTTAACCTTCCTTTATATTTTTGTTCTTTTCTTGTTTCTTTAAATATATTATATGTATGTACATTAATATTATATTGAAATATTTTATAAAATTCAAAATAGTTAATAGTTTCAATTTCTTTGATTTATCTAATGTGTTACTGGTGTTGATGTTTGATTTATGTCAGTTCTTGCCCTTGGTATTCTTGATATTGAAGATGCTTTCAATGCAGATAATGCTGATGTTGATGATGACAATGATGATGATGATGTTATTTGTTTATTAAGAGTACTATTATTGACAGCTACTATAGCCATAGTATTATTTTCCGATGTTCTTGCTGGTGACAAATTTGATGAATTGGCAACTTGTGAGGAATTCAAATCATTTTGAATTACATTCATGGTAACATTTGAAACAGTCTGGTCAATATTTTCGCTTATACCTATTGTAAGTATAGAAGATAAAAAAAGTATATGACATTAATAAATATGCATCAATAGAAAATAATAATGAGAATAATTAAATGAAAATAAAAATATTATAATTTTATGAGGACAACAAAAATTAAAATATGTGCATAAAATAACCACAACAAAATATTTTTCCTATATACGAGTATTTTACAATCTGTTATACTGAATTATTTTTTTTTTAAAATTTCATATAACAATAGATATTACAAGTAGCAAGAATTTCTATACTATTGATTCAAACTTAAAATTGTTTGATTCCACAGATATCTAAAAATTTAACAAACTGAATAATAGATACTAACAATTGATTGAAATTTGAAATGCCTTCACTTATTACTTGCCTTCACTTTCTATGTACACTAAATTATAAAATATTCTACTATAAGATGTACCATATTTTGCTCATACATATTTATAAGAGCAGAAGTACACTGTACACAGCAAAAAAAAAAATAAATAAATAAAAATAAATAATAGAAAAATACGGAAAAAATAAATAAATTGAATAAGAGTGTATGTTTTCCTTTTTCCGTTGTTGATGCTATAATCATTCAAGTAGAGAAAATAAGGAAGAAAAATAATGTAGAAATTGTGGCAAATTGATTACACGTACCAAATACACATAAACATATAGAAATATATACATAATATAATAGTTGTACATTGTGAATAAATAAAATAGAGAAAAATAAAAAAAAAATAACATTGAAGTAAAATAATAATTGTAATACACATTGCAAATAAGAAAGAGAAATATTTATGTGTAAATTTTGAAAGAAAGAATGAAATAAAGATAAACAGGATATATAAAATTATATACAGTGACCTTTCATTTAATTAAATATAAAAATAATAAATAAATATATATAAATATTTAGATGTTCTTGTATTATTAAGAACACCTAATATAAATTCGGACAAAGGATATGAAGGATTTTATTTTTTGATTTCTTATTTTAATTTTAATCAAAAGTTTTATTATCTTATTTGAAATTGAAATGTTCTATAATTAAAGTGGTTGTAATTTTATTAGCATAATATAAAAATTCTCTTTATATAATTTAAAAAAAAAATCATTTTCGACTAGAATTGGACAAAGCAGAGCAATGCAATATTTTCAAATAGAAAGGAGGACAAAGAAAACTATTGGGGAATTGAACCTATTCATCAAAATGCATTATTTATCCAGAAAATTAATCAATACGTAATTAATCTTTCTGTAAATGAAAATTTCAATTACAATTAATTCTGAATTTTAAATTTCAATATAATATAAGAACTTTAAAAAAAAGTTTAAAGAAATGCCACTTTTCCAAACCTATTTTCAAGGTTGAACAATTAAAATGAGATAAAAAAATTACTCCATTTTAATTTGTGAGTCCATTTTGTTACCCTGTTTCAGAAAAATCATCATTCATCTTGGACCCATCGTATATCTTTTTTTTTTACTACATTAGCACGTTCGACTTCGAAGTTACAGTCAAATTTACAGAATAAATTTTACAGGTCATTGAATTAATTAAGCGGTGACCAGCCTGCCGTAATTTTTATTATTATTTATTATTTTATTTTTCTTGGTATACAATATCGAATTTTATGAATATATGGGTAATTACTTTTGTATTAACATTTTATTTAATAATATACTAAGTATAGTTATTATAATAATCAAACTAGAGTTTGAAGCCGAGGCCCTTCAGTTAAAAGACCCGTGCCATAACCACAACACCATTGGTGAGATGATGTATAATTAAGATTCTGTGGACATTAACTTTCACAGTGAATTTTATATGGAAATTTTATGTGTATATAAAATTATTAATGCTATAATATGACCAATTCATCATATTAATTTAAAATAACAATAATAATTAAAATAAAAAATATGAATTTAAATTCCTGTATATAATTTTATAAATTTATTGTTTTCAATAAATAAATATAGTTTAACCATTTTAAATAAAAATTGATTTATGAATTTTTCGAATCAATCAACCGTTCAATTTATAAAACGGAAGTGTCATTATTATTATTAATAATTGAAAATAATTTTCTTATTTCCTTATTGTTTTTTAAAGAAATAAATTCAAATAAATCAAATTGCATTTTGAATTGTATATAATGCATATAACAATTTAAAAATCATTTTTCTTTTATATTCGAACAAAAGAAATTACCACTTTTTATACTATTTATTAATTTTAATAGGAAAAATTTGATTTTCACGCTTCATTCTCTCTCATATTTTAAAATATTTGTATATATTATGTATGTATATATATATAACTATTTGAAAGTCCAATAAATATTGGTTATTTTCAATGGGAACGAAAACAATGTGAAATTTTTGAAAAATATTTAAAAAATTTTGTGGTAATAAAAAGTAACTTTACATTCGACAATGTATTAGAGCACAATCTAATTTAGCTTACATATAATAAGAGTTGTTTAATTCAGTTCAGTTCAAAAGACAAATTTCTAAATGAACTAACTAATGAGAACATGGTTCAGACTGAAATACACATATTTACGACTAAAACAATACACAGACGAGAGCTTCTAGTAAATTTTACCAATTATACAATATTCTAAATCAAAAATATACAGTTAGTATTCTATATGCTTTCAATTTTCTAGCAATGAAATTATACGCAGTATAACATTAAGATCCATTATTTACATTAGAGTTTAAATCCAAGATTCAAACCATTTAATTTAACTATATTTAAATTTTTAATAAAATTGGGTAATCATATAAAAAATATAAAATCTTCTGTATAATAAATGCGAATATATAAAATAAAAGACCTCAATTTTCATTTAATTTTTTTAAAATTCAAAACAATTTAATAATTTTTAGTTTAAAAACTTACCATGTCGCCGTTTCATATGCTTATTGTAATTTGGCCAATTGGTAAAATGATGATTACATTCCAAACATGAATATGGTCGTTCACCGGTGTGTTGGTGACGGTGTGTCTAGCCAAAAACAAATTTTCAAATTAAATATAAAAAAAAATAATAACAATGTATAAAAATAAAAAACAATAAAAATAACAAAAAAAAAAAATATTTATGAAATTTGAATTGGAAAGAACACTTCGAACACTAAGTTTATTATTTTAATTTCCGAAATTATAAACCGGAAAAAAACAATCACGTTCATATATAACAATAAAAGCCAAAAAGTTAACAGAATGCATTTGTATATAATTATTAACAATTGAATGCAAATTGATATTGTGTCCAGTTATCTTTTTTATATCCTTTTGTCCTTTTGTTCCAATTTTTCTTTTAATAATATTATTTCAAATTATTAGAAACAATGAACATACATACATACATAATTATTGGAAATTTTTACATTTTTTAAGAATTTAATTATGAACAGCGTTTAAATTAATAATTTTAAGCGACCAAATATAAATGTGAAATTCTAAATCATATAGGACAGCGAAACTCTTTTCAATAGCACATAATTTCGAATGCAGCATCACAATTTAAAAAATGTATACCAAAACCAATGCGAAAACATGTCTAGTAATAAGACATTGATTGAGGTATCGTGGTTATGTTGAAGAATAACATTGTATTAGGTTTTCAGGCATAATATATTTTGAATAGATTCATTCCAATTCTTTAATTTTAAAACCAATACATATTTATCTGCTTAGTACATGTCAGTTATTGTCATAATGTTGTAAGTCGAAAATCGTGTTTTGTACATGAGTGTATTTTTTTTAGAATTTTTCTTGTTTCTTATTTTTTTATTCAATTTTCATGAATATTATTGAAAGACACGAGAGGTGACTTTCTATGATAAACTGTTGATATCTGTTATATATGTATGTAGTTGTGTTTTATGTAAAAGAATGACTAATTTATAAAATTATGGATTTGAATTTGAGCCGACTGTTTCGTTCATATTTATTTAATTTCTTTATATTTTTGTTTTTTGTTTATTCATGAATTTATACCTTTAATACACTTCGAAATCGAAAACGTTTTCCACAAAATTCACATGAATATGGCATTTCTCCAGTATGTATACGAGAATGTACACGTAATGTATCTTTTTCACGAAAACAACTACCACATATTGAACATTTATGTGGTCTAGAATCACTGTGCACTGATATATGTTTAGCTAAACGATCAGAAGTTTTAAATCTAAAATATAAAAATTAAAAAATTATGTAATTTAATAATGATGTTTAATAAAAAGAGCTTTAAAATTATTAATATAACAATTTTGTTTAATCATAAGAATTACTGACACAAGAATTATTGGCAAAAGCATTTGGTCAACAGGAAAACTAAAATATTCAGTTAAACATGATTAACAATATACAAGCCGCATAAGAAAGCCGCATTCTTTTAGAGAACCGCATTTTTTTTTTTATTTTAGAAAAAGAAAATATTTATGGTAACATTTTAACCAAAAATTGATTCCAAAATTATCAAATTTATAAAAACTTTACTGAAACATTTTTTTCAGATAAAAATTTCCCAAAATTAAAACCAAAAACATGTTTTTCTTAAAATCTTATATATACAATTTATTATCAACCTTACCCTTTTCTATAACACTTTTTACAAAGAGTGTTTCGCCTAAGGTGGCAAATAATTTCAGGAATAATTCTTTGATCAATTTCTAACAAATAATCGTATCGGTGGGGAATGTATGAACTATACATTTTTCGCATGTTTTACTACCAAAACTATTAGAGATAGAGGAAAATATTATATGGGTTAATTTTTAGCTCTAATTGTAGCGCAACGAAAAAAAAAACAAAAAACAAATAGCACAAATTTTCAAGAAATTTCTGGTTTTCAACAAAAAAAAATTGAAAAAAAAAAAACCAAAAATTCTGAATTTGACGAACTTTATCTCGAAAACTATGGGTCAAATTAAATTGATTGTTAGACTGAATATAAAAAGCAATCAATCACCTGTAAAACATATCACATGGTGTCGAAGTTATAAGCATAATGCAGGAAAACCTGGTACCTTTTTTTCTTCAAAAAAAAAGAAAAACTCGAAAACGAGTATATCTGCACTCTCTTCACCCTTCGGATCATACAATTTTTTGCTGGAAATTGATTAAAGAATCATCCCTGAAATTAATAGTCACCTTATGTGAATCACTTTGTATAATTATTTTGTATTATTCACTAATTTTACTTTTGTTGTTATTGAAAAAAGTGTCATTTTCTTCTTATAAACCTATTGAATTTTTGTTTTACTCATTGTTTAATGTATAAAATATTGATATATATATATATATATATATATATATATACAAATATATACATATATATTACGTATAAAGGATTATAAAAATGTATAAAAGAGTAAATGAAATCTTTCAAGCATTTTACTTTGATTGATTATTTGTATAAAAAAAAACGGATGTCCTTTTAACAAATAAACAATAATAAAATTAAAAGTATCCTTAAGAAATTCATTCATCAATATGGGTATTATAAAAATTTTATATATCTGTATATGTATATAATAAAATTAAGTTTTCAAATGAATATTTGATTGATATATCCTTTATTCTCGAGAAATGATATTATTTTATTCCTACAACACATTATGTATGTATATATATTGTTAGTTCGCTAGTAAAGTATTTTAAACAATATCGAACTTCATGTATAGACTTCTGATGTATTGTAATTGTTTTATGTTTGTTACGACTTTTTTTTTTCAAATAAAATTGATTGATTACATATTTTAAGCTGAAAACAATGGTATTTAAAAAAAAATGTGAAAAAAATAATTTTAACGGATGAGACACAATATCGAACACACATTAATATTGCGGCACAAAATTATTTTATTCGATTTTTCTGCAAAGTCTATTCCTTTTTCGGCCTGCTCTTGTTGTATTACTATTTAATATGTTCGGACAAGAATCGCTGTTAAAAGTATTTTAATTCAAAACTTATTCAATTATAATGTAATAAAATTTCAATGTGTAAATATTTACGCATTTTATTTGACAATAACAATAAAATGGCCATTGAATTTTTGATAAAACAGAATGTATGAATTGTTCTATTTATGCCCTTATATTGCATAATTTTGGAAGAACTAAATTTAGAAAGAAACAGGAGAATATTTTCTGTCAAAGAAATAGTTTTTTTTCAGAAAAACCCATTTGTGTATAAAATTCATGCTTCCTAGCTTCCAGAATGCAACAAACAGATGCCCTACAAATGAATATTTTCAAGTTTAAAATTTAAAAATTTTCATATTTTCCTTTCTAAACTTATCGCTCTTAATATAGAGCACATGAAATTTCATTCCTATTATCTTGTATAAAAAAAATACCTACAATGTACAGTTGATCTTTCCAGGAGTAAAGTTTTAATATAATATCAAATGCATAAAAATTGCATAAAATGAAAAATCAATTACATAATAAATAAATTTTTATAATTATTTTTAAAAACTTCATTTTATTTTACCTTTTTTTTTATTTTTATGTATATTTTTTTTTTTGTTAATTAAATTCGTTTCAATTATGTACAAAATTAATATTCTATGGTTTACCAAAGGCTATACATACATAAAATAAAAATAAGAAAAATAAAATGTGGAAAATTTTTTTCAACCCAACAATAGTATTCAAGTAAAAATAAATGGTTAAAATTTTTATACCAAATTCAAATGAACAATTGTGGTTTAAATGCCTTTCAAAACTCATACACGCATAATTAGAACAAATTATACATAAAATTTCATAATAATCCAAAAAACAAAAAGGAAATAAATTGAACAAATTTAGTAAGCAAACATCTATATTATGTAAAAACACATCTATATATACAGCCGATTTGAGCAAAAAAAAAAGTATTATAGTTAAGGAAATGAGAAAATTACAAAATATATTACAATTTGGATGAAATAATAAAAGATGAGTAGCTATCTGGGGGAACAAAACAATGAAGATCCTTTCATTTTTAAAATAGATAAAACCAGCTTTCAAAGAACTCGTATCCTTCTCACGAATTCCCTTAAAACACTAAATTCTAGAGAAATTATGAAAAAATTAAGTAAACCATTAGGACGTTAGTAATTTCATGACAACTTAAAATATTTTATACGAAACAGTTAATTAATAACGAAACCTGAAATACTTCTGCAAACATGTTAATAATACAATACAAGGCCCAAACTATATGTACCTTAAATAGGTTAAAATAATTTTTACTGTACTTATTAAAATATTTTAATAGTGAAACAGGTGAGATGGCGTTACAAAAATTCGAATATTAAGCAATTCAAACATTTTGCAAAAATCAGGAAGAGAAACCAATTTCTCTTTTTAAAACTTGCGGAGATTTTAATTGCAATAAAAAATATTTTTTAAATTATTCCGTAAAAATAAATAACATTTCCATTCTATAAATGTTCACATAACATTTTAAATAAGATGGGTGATCTTTCCAAATGTGCCCGATAGTCCTCGATCTGTTCTCGCTATAATAATACTGTACATTACCAGGTTTACAAAAATATAATGAACGCCAAACAGGAAATCCCTTCCTTCTCATAAATTGTTCACCTATAAAAACTAAATTTTTGAAGTTTTTTTTAACACAAAATTTTCATAGAATTAATTTTCAATAGAATGCATTCAATATATATATATATATGCATATACAAGTACATTTACAAGCGTAATATAATGTAAGGATATTTCTTATTTAGAAAAATTTGTTAAATTTCTACAAAAGAAATTTGAAATATTTCTAATTCTCAAAATAAACCATTAATACCAATTAGTGATTTATTAAAACGAGAAATTAAATGACAAAAATCCAAAACATAAGATGCCTGAACAAAATAAATGAAAATTGAAAAAAAAAGCAAAAAAAAAAATTCTATTCCGTTTCATTAAAAATCAAAATTGGAATGAAAACATAAAACAAAAAAATTAAGGACACACAAATAAAATCGATAATCGAATTATTTTTATTTTTTCCTTTGAAAAGAAATGCAAACATTAGACGAAAGCAAAAAAAAAAACTTCCTAGAATTTTGATTTTTAGTTTGCTATTGTTTTTTCTTCCTTCACAAGCAAAAACACACACACATTTCATTTTTCTTATGAATTTTCCAATTTTATAATTCTCTTATTTCTCTTACTGTTATTACTTTTACAAATAAAAAATAAAAAAGAAAATTAACAATAAAATTTCATTTTTACAATTTTCATCTCTTGTTCATCCTCATTTTCCAAGTTTTTATTTTTCAAATTTCCTGAAATTTTTTTTTCCAAAACAAAAGCTTCTCTTTGCTTTTCTATGAAACAGAGAGGAAAAAAATGAAGGAATCTGTAAAAATTATTGAGACAATAAATCGATTTGTGTATATAACAATAAATACACTAACATATATAACACATTTAACTTAGGTTTTACATTACTTAGATATTACATAACTTAAGCATTAAATCATCTCATCGCTCAGCTTCATTATGTATGCAATATAAAATACATTCACATTTACATATAGATTTCAATTTGAGTTTTAATGGTATCTACTTTGAATTATGTTTTTTTATAAATACAGGAAACACTCCTATTACGTTCCGTCTCAATACCTTACCTCATATAACAAAGTTTCTTTTTTTTGTAAATCATTTACTTACTATGAATGTATACATAATTGTCTCGATTTACTTTTTTCTCCCAAATAAAACTTTAAGCAGTTCATTATTCCTTTTTTTGTTTCTTTCCTCTCTAGAACTTCCTCTAGTGTTATTTCACTTAACATAGAACTTTCATTAGTATATATATTATCTCCGACTTCTTATTATGAAAAAAATTATGAATATTTTTAAATTGTAAGCAACGGCCCTGTATCTAGCATTCTATATAGTATTCCCTGAAATGCGTCATTCTATTCATTTCAAAATAAGTGTGCTAGCATTTTTCCGTACTTAAATATTTAAACTCCATTTTAAAAATCTAAAAAAGAAAGAACTCATTTCAAGTTTTTTTAAGAGAATGCATTCCACAACACAACTATACAGGGAGAAACAGCTAAATATAATTCTGTTTTTTGTTATTAATTAATTTTCGAAAATTATATTTTTATATATGAAGTTCTGAATGCTATAAAATACCAATATTACGAATTTTATAATTTA